CAAATAAACTCAATCAGTACATTTTAATTGTGGTCGATGCATTTACCCGTTTTGTATGGTTGTACCCTCTGAAGGATTGCAAGACAAAATTCATCATAGAAAAATTGAAGATAATTTTTGATAGTTTCTCAGTACCCCGAATACTTGTGTCTGATAATGCAAGTTATTTTACATCCAAGGAATTTAAGAAATTCATGTTCAATAACTATGTGGAACACAGAAAGCTAGCTGCGTACAGAGCAAACGGAAATTTGTCGGAACGATATTTGAGGGAGACTAATAATGCTTTACGGAGTTTTTATGGTAATCAACATGATAAATGGGATTCAGATCTGGGACTGATTGCCACAAGTTTGAATACTGCTGTAAATAGTTCGACTAAATCGACTGCTTTTGGTTTAATGTTTGCCCATCCTTGTAACAATGCACTGACAAACTTATGGAATGTTAATGACATTATTTCGGAGAAGTTAACTCCTGATCAAAGGAGGGAAAATTTGGAGAAAGCCATAAATAACGTCAGAAGAAGCATTGCCAGAAATCAAAGAAGGGAGAGATATAGCTATCCTCGGAGAAACCATCCATTTAAGTTGAATATGGAAGTGTACATCAAGACACATTATTTAAGTAATGCAGCGAATAAATTCAGCAAGAAGTTAGCACCTAGATACGTTGGACCTTACGTAATACGCTATTTTCTGAGTGATTCAACAGTACTAGTACAAAATCCTAGCAAGTTAGAAGACGTGAAGAAAATTCATATAATTGATTTAAAGAAGAGTTAAGTAGTGAAGAGGACCAAAAGTAACCAATGTATTGATGGAAGAGGAAATGTGAAAAATGGAATTAAATGGAAGATTACGGAAGACTGAAGCTAAATTGGTCTTTATGAAATGTCTGTAAAGTAGAAGTTAGATTTGTTTAGTTGAAATATTAATTAGTTAAGGGATTTTAGCAAGCTAAGAGGGAATTTGAAATTTTGTAAATTAGTACTGTGGGAGTTGTTTTAGGTTCTTAAGAATTTTTCAAAGTTTTAAAGTGTTTTTAGTAAGAGAGTGTATAAATGTGTATGTATTGGTGAATGTGTGAGTATTTGTGGCAGCAAAAGGTAGTATGAATCTGTATGAATCTAAAATGGAGTCTGAACGTAGTGTATGAGTGGGATTTTTACTAAAGGACGCACAATAACATTTTGATTAATTTTGCACTTGTAAACAGGGAAAATAACACAGAACACAAAACACTTCACACGAAACACACGAGGGAACATAAAAACAGGGAATATAACACACTGGGATAAATAAATTAAGGGAAAACTAAAGAAAAACACAGCACACGCAAACGACATAACTAAACTAAACTGGAGAAGTGAAAGTTATTTGTCTTGTCTGGAGTTGATGTTGGGAGGGGTCAGTGAACTGTGAGCGGATGTGAAGAGTTCAAAAGAGATTTAAATAGGCTTGTTTAAGATCGCTTAAGTAATTGGGGGTTTTAAAGAAAGGTTTTATTTTAAGGTATAAATTTTGTAAATAAGATTGATAATATTTGAATTGTCATAGGAAAATGAAATGGTTCAAAATGAAAAATTGTGTAAATAGAAGTTGTTGTTTTGAGTAGAAGGTTCTGTAAGGTGCTGTAAACGTGTGGAGGCTAATTGAACTAGGAGTTAGTGTTTGTAGAATTTGTTGATAGGTAGCGCTAGTTGAAATGTCAAACGGAGTTAGAGTTTTATTATTTGTTTCAAAAGGTTTGTTTATTTTCTTTTGTAGAGTTGTTGTTTTAAAAGGAAATGTAAATATTAATTTTGAGAAAGAGTGTATAATTTTGTTTATGTAATTTCAAGTTAAGGAGGGGAAATTCTGTACCGATGGTAGTTAGTTTTTATTTGAAATAACAAAACAAAATCAATATTATTTAATCATTGGCTAGAAAGATTAAGAAAGAGTGACCAGCAGTTTAGAAGTTTTAGTTTTGTAGGGTTGGTAGTGGTTAGTGATAACCAGGTTCAACTTTGTCAGTTTTAAGTTCACTGGAAATATGGTCATCTAAGTTGTGGTTGCTGTAGAAAATTACAGAAATCAACCACTTCTTGGTACTACCACTTCTTGTTCACCTTCTTATGCTTGGTCCAGTAGCTTTTTGCACCACTTCTAGTTTGCATGGTATCTGCTAGTGCCTGTTCTGACCATTAAACCAGTGTCTCTGTTTAAAGTAAGATCTTTCCACTATTTTATTATTTAGTATAATTTTTGGAAGTAACAACTGGATATTTAATTTCATTTGGAAAGTGTATTTTGAGAAATTTGACATCCGTAAAATAAATGCATCTTTGGCCTACTTTGTCTTTTAATTTATCTCACTTCTACTACCAGCTTAAATTAGATTCATCCTAAATTAAAGTATACTACCTAATTGGCTACAAGGTAGGGGTATATCATGGAGCCTAATTTAATTTCTTATTATTAGAAGGCTGCAAAAAATTTGTTTACTTTGAGTCAGGTAAAAGATTTTACTTACCTATGGCTCTCGGGCCAAATAGGATCGGCTTAAAATCTGGTTGCTTAATTTTTATATAATGTCGATTTTCGAGCCGACCAGAGCCTGGCCTACAAGCTTGAGAGATCAAGCACAAAGTCAGAAAATCAAGCGCGAGCCATTTTCCTCAGTACTAAATACAATAATGCCCAATTAAAAGTAAAACCTTTTATGTCCGCGAGGATCACGCTCACGAAATTGAAAGACTACGCTTCTACGCCTACGCTTTTACGCTTTTTGGAGCCTACGCTTTTACCACGATCGCGGATATCGACGAGAACTTTTCTCTGTGGGTGATGATGACGATGTCTCCGTGGCCGGTGGCCGCAGGTGATGTTCAATATTTATCCGTGATTGCGGAAAACAATAAGTTAATAATAACACTTCTTTTTCCGCGAGGAATATATCTAGGATTTTGCCGCGATTACGGAATAAATTATTTCACCGTCACCACGGGTCACGGGAGATATTAGGGATTGGGCCGTGAATGTGGGAGGTGATGATGTTGTTATCTGATGATGTCATAGGTTTGGTTGCAATCACGGTAGACTATGATAGGCTAATCTTTCTCCCATGACTACGGGAAGTACTCACAATTTTGCCGCGATCTTGGCTGACGATGATGACGCCTCGGTGCCTCGATAGATGCCGTGCCAAGCTAAAGTGAAAGTTTAGGCGGTAATACATGCGATAATGTTTTTACAGATTATTGGTAGAGGGGGCCCGGCGAACAAACTTGCGGGGGGGCCCGCGGGCTCTTATCGCCGCCACTGGCTAGTCTTTGTCTTTGTAAAGCTAATAGGCTAGTCTATGTTGACTCTAGAATGTTTATAAAACTTATAAGCTTATCAAGTCAACTTACAAACTAAAAACTAAGCTAAGAATTAACAGTTTAGTCACACCAAATCATATAGAGTATTGGTTTATGCAGGTTGTACTCAAACAGTATGGTTTAATTTTTGGTTAATGACTGAACTATTGATTCAGAACCAACAATCTATGAAATTAAATCATAATGTATTATTGCTCATATTCAGTTAGGCCTATTAGAACTTTTTTACTATATTAAGTTAATAGGCTACACTTTTTTAACTATACAGATATCATTTTGAAACATTGAGTTGTGTACCACCAAGCCTAATGTGGAAAAAGGTTTTTGCCTGGGGCAAACAGCTTCCCCCCCCCCCCCCTGCGCTACTTCTCCCAAGTGCCAGTGGGAATGATAAATATACCACATGTCTGTTAAAAAAGTGTAGTTGTTGAAAATAAACATACGGTCCACCCTGTATACTGTATTAATGTAGGCCTACCATAACTAAAAAATTAAACTGTAATCTTTTTGATTAGGCCCATAGGTACTTACATTTGATTTAGGCCTAATAACCTATTTCAATTCGTTGCTCGATATTAACTGTACTGTACCATATACATAATAATTTGAAAAATATGTGTTTGCATAAGTTCTGAAATTCACTTATTACTGTATAAAGTGCGCTTTATTGAACTTGATGACATGACTAGTGGCCGAAACGACCTTGTTTACACGACTCTCGACAAGAAGAGCATCTCAATAACAATGACTATTTTCCTAATCCCCTTGAGGCATTTCTTATCGAGATTCTACTGTGTACATTTTTGTTTTCCATACATTGTTTATGTAGCAGCCCCGCTATATGACACAAGCCTTAGTGTGTGTAAAGTCACGTGATGTCGCAATGACTAGATGCGCGTGCACGCAAAGATCTGCCACGAGTAGACGAGAGGGAGGGATGACAGTGTAGTGTGTGCGTGGTAGTGGCCTGCTGGACATCTTCAATCCGATGAGTAGCCTTAGCTTGAGTAGATAATATAGTAGGGGTTGGGGAAGGGTGTAGACTAGGGCAATGAATGAATATTTATGTAATTTATTAAGTTTACCAAATCGGTTGTGGTCTCGTGATCAATATTCCAAATTTATATAGCCTGATTAATATTTGAATTCACGTTAGCTACATGTAGTTACTATTATGAATCAGAATAAGTCCATTCACATAATTATTTCTCTGTTCACTATGTATTAATTAGATGTATTAAATAACATAAGGGGGAGCGAGCTGGCGTAGTGGTTAGAGCGCGGGACTTAAGTCCCTGAGGTCCCGGGTTTGATCCCCGCCAAGTCACCCATGGATTTTATCTAAGTGATAATGCCGCAACCCCTAGGTCTAGCCTGAAGTAATGTGAAAAACAATCCCAGGCTCGTGCCTAGCGTCATAGGACAAAAAAAATTAAATAGCATAAAAGCTGGCTGTGATATGCAGCTAAGGTATTATTGTGCACTTTGGCAAGATAGGTGGGTTCTTTTCAATAGAGTTTGAGCTACGACAGGAAATGTGGGTGATTTAGTGGTGGTTAGTGGAAGATATATTGGACCCAGGTATCTTTATTACTCATACTACTGCATTTCACCGCATTTTTACTTGTTTCAGGATCCAACATTAGTTTGATAATGGATAATAGTGAGAGTGGGGATGAGCTAGGGGGCACATTCCTCACCACTGAAGGTAGCTACATGGTACAAACAGATGAAATGGATGGTGAGTTAAAGCTACTTGGTGAGTTAAGAAGTGGCTGGATCGCATGGCCCTTCTACTCATTAAACGAATTTTATGCACATTTTGAAAATAACACGTATTTTCATTTACTCATGACGCTAATTCTTGATGAATGCACAATGTAGAATATTGTACTGTAGGAAACTCTGGAGCACAAGGCAAACCAAAGTGTAGTAAAATAGAAAATGGCGGATCTGTGTTCTTATTTATTGACTGTTTTTAATTAAATCTGTCCAGTGGTTTTTGTGTTCTGAAAGACAGGAGGACTGACACCACATTGTATTTATAATACAAACCATTCAAATTAGACTACAGTGAAGGCAAACATTTTTAGATTAGATTTGTACATTGATTCCATTGAACTCGGGAGATGATGATTGTGTCTCCTTGACCGCGATAGATGTTAACCCATTTGCATCGTCATATTTATTTAACAAAAATCCCAGTATCATTGAATCATTAAATACCCCCACTGCAGCAAACATGTAGACTAAGTGAATTTCCATTTGCCTGATTAGATTTTCAATTAAATATATTTAAATAACACCCCTAATGTTACTGAAATTGCTCCTATAATTGTTACTATAATTACCGAGGAGCAATGCTGTAAAATATTGGTAGAAAGTTCCAGGCGCCCTTCATACATATATAAGCACCCCCGTCGCAGCAAACCTGACAACTAAGCGAATTTCCATTTGTCTGAATTGATTTTCAATTAAATATATTTAAATGAGTACCTAGGTTTGCTGCTACAAGGAAACTAATAAAGTGTGTTAAGATTGATCAAAATATATCCATAAACAACCAAACTACAACATTTTACAATATTCTCCATAAGAATAACATGGGAATTTTTAATTTAAAATTTTTTAAATTTTCTCCGTTACCAATAACCGTACAAAAATACTTTTATATACTAAATTATTTGTATTTTTAAGCTCTTTAAAAAGGTATAAAGAGAAATTGGGAAACTTTGTGTTTTGAGGGTCAAAAGTGAGAAAAACCAATTTTTACCCCATAAAACCCCCCGTAAAGCCCTGTTCCCATGGTCCGATCATGCTGGTTCGCGAACTCGTTCAAGTTTATCCCGCTTTACACCTTTAAACCAAATTTCATAAAAATCGGACAAAAATTACTCAAGTTATCGCGTTCACGGACACATATATATATATATAAATCTATATATATATATATATATATATATATACATATATAAAAATTTTAACGAATGGTGTTTTTGGCCTCTGGGGACATCAAAATGAAAAAGTAAATCGCTCCCGGGCTTAGGTCTTACCATGCCACCTACGGTAATAGCTACTTCCCTATAGGGAAATTCGCTAAAATTTGAACGAATAGTGTTTTTGGCCTCTAGGGACATCAAAATGAAAAAGTAAATCGGTCCCGGGTCCAGGTGCCACCTACGGTAATAGCTACTCCCTGTTGCTAAAGCAATATAGAGGAGCAGCTGAGTTTTATTTTCTTAATGTTTTGACTTTAGTTACTATGGGAACAATTTTGATTTGTAAACTAATACTAAAGAAAGAAAGTTGATACAAGTTTAACTCTTTATTTATTCTACAATTTATTAACTTAAAACTTAATTTAAAGCAGGTAAACCAAAAAACATAACTTAACTTATCCACGGATATCACAATACTCCCCTATAGGGAAATTTGCTAAATACTTCCCTATTCGCTAAAATAACCATTCTAGTTAACAACTATTCTAGGGTTGTTACCTTGGTAACAAGTACCTAGGTTTGCTGCTACAGGGAGGGTAAAGTGTTTTTTTAGTTAAATATTAATAGCTTAGTATAAAATAAATACATTATCCAAGTTTGATAAAAATATATGCATATACTAGCTGTAACCCGCGGGCTTTGGCCCGTTTAACTTCTTAATTTTCAAGATTATCTCGTTCGCATGGCTCAATCACGTCCTGATTGAAGTTTGTTCGCTACGCTCACTCACCTTTAGGTTGGAGCTCGTTCGCTACGCTCACTTGCCTTCAGGTTAGCTCGTTCGCTATGCTAACTCGCCTCCAGGTTGAAGTTCGTTCGCTACACTCACTCACCTTTTGGTTGCAAATTAGCTGTTGTCATAAATGTAAAAGAAATAATAGTGCTGCACCCTGTTGGTAATCTTTGTAACTTTAATGCTATTGAACATCATAGAACAGAACCAACTTGTTTAGTTGAAACAGCTGTTAAGATTCAATAATTCCATTTCTCATAAGGTTAACATGGGAAACTCCAGAGCCACTGGGGCGGAGCCCGAAAGGATTTTTGAAATAAGAGTATGCCTATATGTTAATCGGGAATGTGAGCTATCATCATGCCAAATTTCAGCCCAATCCGACCAGTATTTTTCGCGTTCACTTGTCACAAACATACATCCATACATCCAAACTTTCTCATTTATAATATTAGTAGGATTAGTAGGATTAGTAGGATAAACGGTATCAGCAATCTGACACATATTTTCTCCCATTAGTCCCATTAGCTTGTCAAGAACCTTTATCATGGGTAAGTGATGAGGTATTTAATGGGGAAAATCACAAAAGTTTCATTTCATTAGCTTTTTTTAACCCGTTATTTTTACAGGAATGGGGGGGGGGGGGTTGCACTATTTTTGTTTAGAATTTTAAGGACTATAACAGATAAATTTAAATCAAAATCTTTTTTATTTTTATTCCTTTTTTCCGTTTTTATGGGAAAATAACATAAGCTACAATAACTTTTGAATCACAATTTTTACAGCAATTTGGGGTTGCACTATGTTGTTAAGAATTATAACGATTATCACATACTAATTTGAACCAAAACCGGCCTTTTATAAAAAATATAATTTTATATTTTTTTATGCAAAAATCAACATTAAAAATCAAAATTTTAAAAGGCACCTGGAGATATTATGGTTTAGTACATACATACAAAATTTCATCAAAATTGGACCACAGGTGTAGTCTGTAGCACTGTACACATACAGAAACACACACACACACAGACATCACTTTGAAAACAACTTTTTTGGGTACAGGGGGACTTAATTGGAAATTTTCAGCGGCCGTCTTGGATCCGCCATATTGGAAAAAATAAATTATTTTTTAAAATTCCTAATAACTTTTTAACAATAAGGTTTTGAAAAACGAATTGCAGCATCGTATTCAGCCTAAAAATCTATTTTAAATTATGGGTCACAACCCCACCTTTACATTTGACAATAATTTTTTGTATCCAATATAGCGGATCCAAGATGGCATCTGAAAATGTCAAATTCTTCAAAAAGAAAAAAATATGACCCGAAAATGTTGAGTGTTAGATTTATGTCTTTTTCTAGCAAATTATTGATACTAGGGTCATATTTTAACAATAGGTTTATATAAGAACAGGTTCAAAAATTAATCTTCAAAAATTTGTTATAACTTTTCAACCGATCAATATTAAAAAAAAATAAATTGCGTTATTGTACTCAGCATAAAATTTTAGTTTTAAATGATGTCCTTTACATTTGAAAAATAAACTTTGTATCCAATATGGCGGCCAAAAATGTATACCCATCAATTCTCTACAATGATCTGACGTCGTCTGGAGTTGATATCTTAAGAAATGTAGAAAAAAATAGGGGGGTTATCATTTAAAACTCACACTGTATGTTGACTTCTTATCTTCTTATCAAGGTTTGCAATAACATGTGATTATATTTTTTATAAAAGGCCGGTTTTGGTTCAAATTAGTATGTGGTAATCGTTATAATTTTTAACAACATAGTGCAACCCCCAATTGCTGTAAAAATTGTGATTCAAAAGTTATTGTAGCTTATGTTATTTTCCCATAAAAACGGAAAAAAGGAATAAAAATAAAAAAGATTTTGATTTAAAGCAGATTTTTGACAAGCTAATGGGACTAATGGGAGAAAATATGTGTCAGATTGCTGATACCGTTTATCCTACTAATATTATAAATGAGAAAGTTTGGATGTATGGATGTTTGTGACATGTGAACGCGAAAAATACTGGTCGGATTGGGCTGAAATTTGGCATGATGATAGCTCACATTCCCGATTAACATATAGGCATATTCTTATTTCAAAAATCCTTTCGGGCTCCGCCCCAGTGGCTCTGGAGTTTCCCATGTTAACCTCATGAGAAATGGAATTATTGAATCTTAACAACTGTTTCAACTAAACAAGTTGGTTCTGTTCTATGATGTTCAAAAGCATTAAATTTACAAGGATTACCAACAGGGTGCAGCACTATTATTTCTTTTACATTTATAACAACAGCTAATTTGCAACCTAAAGGTGAGTGAGCGTAGCGAACAAACTTCAACCAGGACGTGATTGAGCCATGCAAACTAGCTCATCTTGAAAATGAAGAGCATTTGACATAAAACCACATTAGGACAGGACGACGTCTGTCGGGCCAGCTTGTTTCTTATAATAGTCTGTTCACAAAATTAAGACGGTTCCTCTACTTCTTTTTTAGGTTAGCGTATATGTTGTAGCTGATTGACTTTTTGACAAACCTCAGCTGTTTAGCTATTTTTTTAAGGTAGGATCAAATGGAGGAGATGGACTTATTCCCCTAAAACTGCAAAATTTTGTGAACGGAGTATAGTTTAAGCAAGATAGTGTTGAAAATTATCTCTTTCGGTGGATCAAAAATGTGCTATAAAAGATCAATAAAAAACCTAGCAATGGTTTACATATTATTATTTCGTTTTAACATATTCCTCCCCTTTCCTCCTTGGCTCCGCAATATGCTACATTTCTGCCATGTTTTAAAACTTTTCCTCCTTTTACAGATGAAGCGGTTTTGACAGCTGAGAACACAGATGATTCAAATCATGATGGGGAACATAAAATTGGAAACCCTTTACGTGAACAAGATAGGTTTTTGCCAATCGCTAATGTAGCCAAAATAATGAAGAAAGCCATTCCAGATAACGGAAAAGTGAGTAAACCAAATTACCATAAGTTTCTTATCATTATTACAATTTATAAACAAGGTTTTTTCAGTCTGTTTCCAAACATCAAGCCATGGAAATCACTAGAAATTAAGATTCTGTCTGCCTTTTTTCATTGGGATTTAGCTTACGCTAATATTATACCAATTAAAACCTCCAGATGTAATATTAACTAGTGTACCTGTTGCTCGAATTCGAGCAATTGCTAGTTATTACAGGCGTTATTTTGAAACGAATAACAGTCATAATTTCTAAAGACTTTAAAAGATTTGACTCAAAGATTATGGAAATACTCAAGATGTAAATAACAGATCGATTTAATCAAAATTTCTTGTGCATTTCTTGTTTTCTACAAATAGCCTCTCACATAGCCGCATTAGGCTGTCCATAATAACGATTATAAATTCTATTTAAAAAAATCATTATTTCTATTTTCTTCTCCCTGGTGGTGTTCTATGACTTTCTTATGTTTCCATGGTTTGCAAATCGGCTCTTTCAATGATTACTAAGAAATGCAGCACAGTGTTAATTCAGTTTTCTTTTTAGTATATCAAATTATCCAGGCTCTCTCGCTTTTTTCCGTTGTGACATTTAGGCCAACCCGAATTGAAATAGTAAATAATTCATTTCAACCAAGTCAGTAAATGTTTGTAGCAAAGTCCTCGTTCCCACACCAATCCCTGGCTCAAGTCTGGGACTTATTTGCCAGGCCAATTCCCCGAGAAAATCTTCCTTCTATTTAGGCTTCAGCCACTTTCTTCAGTTTCAATCCTCGTCCAGACACATTATGTCTACAAAAGCATTACAGCACGACTCCCTTCCTCATTCCGCCCTGAGCTGAGCGATAGAGGTCATTGTGATTCGCTCTAACCTGTCCTCTCCCCTTCATGAGCAAGTTTTCATTCCTTTTCTTTCTTGTTTCTTTTGATCGCGTCTACCAGTTAGTTTGTCGGCCTTCTCCAATTGGCTGTCCTGGTCGACTTCTTACAGTCTTCATTATGTCGAAAGTTTTTTTGGTTATGTTTTGATTTTGTGGAAATAAAAACTGTTTTAAAACAGTGCACCATCAATCTTTTTAACTAATCTAATAAATCCTTATAACACATGTCTCCAATTTTAGTATAACCAGCTTTTTAATATATTAGTGTCAATTTCAAAGTATTCAACTGTTCAAATGTAAACAAACATATTCTCCCTAAGAATAACATGGGAACTTTTAAGGTCACTGGGGCAGAGCCCTGATGGAATTCCAAAGTTTTTTTGTTTGATGGCAAAACTACATGCTAAGACCTTTCTAACGACACCTTGGCCATGGTAATCGGTAGCAACACCACTCCAAAACAATTATGTCAAAAATATGCCTAGCGTATTAAATATATAGATTCACTTGGAATTTCCAAGTAAATTAATTATATCTGAATATTATTAAAGTAGACTCTATTGGGCTGGACCTAGGTCGGATAACTCAAAAGGTCGGTTAAAACGGGCAATCCCTAAAATCAACATAATGAAGTGCTATTCATTTGGAATTATATAATCATTATTTTGAAGTCATACTTGCATTATTTATAAAATAAACTACTCTTTTTTCGTATTGATAGATGTAGTATATCCTAAGAATATTCAATATCCGTTGTAACTAGGATTTCCTTGTACATCACGCCACTATGAATCGTATGATTTTCAATAAATCTCATTGGCTACAAACATCACCTGATCCCTTCTCCACCTACATCACACCACCGTCCATGACCGTACGTCCCTACAACAACAGTCTACCTCCAAAAGTCATACCTTAACCATCTGTTTTTAGCCGTGTTTTAAACATGTAAAGATATCGTATTTATTTCAGTCCACTTCCTAAGTCCAATTCAACCCACGAACACAACAATAGAAAAGTCACAAATAAACACAAAACATGGTTAAGTCAAATAGGCCCACTTTCAGTAAAATATATTATAATACTAGCAAGAGTCAATACAAATTCCTATTTTAATATCTTTAGTACTGTAATGTATTAATTGATGCTTTCCAAATCCATCATAATACAGTACAGAACCTTTTGTCGAAATTAAAGATACAAGCAACCATTTTGTTAGAAGACAGGATGTTTATTTATAGCCTCTCACTGGAGGTTCGAGTCACAAAAACTATCTTGACCTTGGAGTTGTTAACCCCCCTACCCTGCCCTCCCTACAAGTTGCGTTGTTTGTTTACTCCAGCGATAAGATAATCAGTTCTCAAAATCGTAACGCACTTTATGATGTTATAAAATTTGCCGCACAGATAACAAATCAGATCAGATGTGCTCGCGCTACGAACGATTATGACAAACTGACAATAGGCTATGCTATATTTTTTGTAATCAATACAAAATAACTTATTCTTAGTCATATCCTGTGGAGATAAGCCTATGGTTCAGTTCTCATTGCCCAGCGTGGGAGCGGAAATGCCGAGATTCCTAGAAAGTGGCGGTTAAACCGAACTGCTCTCAAAGCAAGGTCGGTTAAAACAAACTGTATTATTTTATGATCGAAGGTGGATAATCCGATTATCGGTTAATACGAGGTCGGTTAAGAGAGGGTCTACCGTATAATGAAATGATCAAATCTATTTTTACTCCCATAGATTTCCGATCTTAAACTTCATAACTCCAGTGCTAACACTTTTAGTAAACAAATTTTATTTTTGTCAACATTCACAGTTCCCTGCAATACTGGTCCACCAATAGCTCCAAGATAGGTACTTGTTAGCTCCAAGATTATCTATTCCTAAAATTACAACCATATTCTTCTCCTAGTTTTTAAATACATTTGTGTTAGAACATCCAAAATCAGATATTGCTCATAAGAGCATGAAATTACACTCTCTTGGGGGGGGGGGGGGGGGAGAGAGATTATCATTCACGTACTCTGAAAATAGGGGTTGCTTAAACCAGAGGTTTTATTCCATTAAAACCGTCAATAAATTAAACGCTTTCATTTGATTTATTTTTTAGTACTAAGCTAAATCTTTCTTTAAGTAAAAGTAAAACTTAAGCATGAACATACCGGTACTCTCTAAAATTCTCTTGTATGATGGATTAGCTGAAGACAAATAAGTCCGATTCAAGCGTATATTGCTTACTATAAATATTAGTAGTACATTATACAATAACCTTTAGCACTAAGTAATTCAACTGAATACAGCTGTCCATATTATGTAATATATAAAATACCCTCGCTGCAGCAAACCTGCAGACTAAGCAAATTTACATTTGCCTGATTGGATTTACACTAAAATATCTCCTTTAAAATATCACATTTATTCCCTATATAGAACTAGATAACCAGTTGCTCAAAATCAAGCAAAACTGTAACTTTTAATAATAAAATAGTCAAAGAGTCATTCTAAAATCTATGAAAATATTATCATAGATAAAACGATATTATGTTGTAAAAAGTTATAAAAGTAACCTACAATTTTTAAATATAGATCCGCTCTCATACTGCTTCGGTTATCTCTTATGTACAGTAGGCGGGGTGCCCTCTGAACGTAGATGTCAACCACACTCTGTAAAGAGAGATTTTCAGACCTAATGTAGCAAGCTAAATCCCTGTCTTGACGCCAACCAGTACGACACGTACTGATGTTTTAGGCGTGTTTAAATTAGGGACCCCAACCAAAGTCTCCGGTGGGAACATAAGAGGGTAAGTAAGTGGATCAAATGACGGATCTAGAACGGATTCACATTTAACATTATTAGTTAAAAAAAAAGAAAAGATTTTTTGTCCAAGTGGTGCTCTGTTTTCAGCTAAAAAAATAGCAGCGACATCTATACAGGTAGCATCATTGTAGCGAGGGAAGTCACTTCTTTTGTCTCTTATGCACATAAGAATCTCACTTGACTCCTCAGAGCTTTCGTCCCTACACATTTCTGCCACAGTTTAAAAATATTGGGCAAATGGGTTGGCAATGTGACCCTATTTCCCGCATATTTTTGTATTGCATTTTTTGTTTGAATTGTGTTTCATGCGCCGTTGGGTTCCTTCAATGATGTTCCATTGGGAGAGATTGATGCGAGCGGTCACGTTCACATTCCCTTGTCTTACTGGTGGCATTCAATTTTAAATTTAGATAGAATTCGAAAGTTAACCAAACAACAGGAAACACTTCAACGGAATTTTGATATACATTGTAAATTACATGATATGGTAAAGTAACTGGTAACTGTGATGTGAATAATCACTTTTAAACACTCACTTAATCACACTGAAATGTAACCAAAACTACATGATGATTCAGTAAAATACGATGCAAGCTAAATCAATTCAACCATTACAAACTATTTGTTGTCAAGTCTTGCTAGGAAACTATTTATGAACCAGACTTAGTTAACAGATGTTTAAAAAAAATATAGGCCCTAAATTTCGGCTTTGCTTTGTAAGTAATAAGTCCTGCAGTTCGTGGTTAACCTTAAAAACTATTTCAAACTACGTCCATATATTTAGTTGTAAACAAAGGGAATTGAGTTTGATCTAATGTCAACAGATAGTGCCACTGTTCCCAAACTTTAGCCCTTAACTCTACTTAAGTGATGCCCTTTCTTAATATTCTGAGACGTATTTGCACATCTACTTGAAAAAAACCTTTAGTTTGACACCTAAAACGTTAAAATCCGTCAAGCCCTTATCGAGTTATGACTGTGAAAAGAAAACTGCTTGCGTATTAATATATACAGTAGATTAGTTTAACGAGTACTTAGGTTTGCTGCAACAGGGAAGGTAAAAGTGTGTTTTTTTATGTTGATAGTAAGAAATAGAAACATTTTCCAAATTTGATCAAAATATGTTACAATCAAGCAAACTACAACAGTTTTCTTATTCTCCATGAGAATTTTTAATTTAACATATTTTGGAATTTTCCCTGTAACTGTTTGGCGCATAATAGCGCTTCAATATATTAAATTATTTGTTGTTTTAAGCTCTACAAAATGGTTTGGAAATAAATTGCTAAATTTTATGTTTTTTGGGTCAAAAATAACCAGTTTTTACCCCATAAACCCGCGTTCCCATAGTCGGATCATGCTGGTTCGCGAACTCGTTCGAATAAATGTAGGTTTACACGTTTATACCAAATTTTATCAAAATCTTATCATTTTTGCTCGAGTCATCGTTCTAACGGACACACATATATATGTGAATTTGAACGGATGGTGCCTCTAGGGACCTCAAAACAAACAAAAATAAATCAGTCCCGGGTCCAGGTCTTACCATGAGTACTAAGGTAATAGCTTATTCCCTATATGGGAAATTCGCTAAAAGAGTGCCATAAAAATTGTAAAATCTACCCTTAAATAAGAATGAAACATTGAGTTGATGCCAGTACACTGAAACGTCACCAACACGCGAAACACTCATCACTCATTTATTTTTAAATTAGTTTATGTAGCGAAATACAAATTATCCTACGGTAGTGGCTGTCACCAATCAAGTTTTTAGGGCTACAAGTCCCTAACTCCAAAATGTAGTCAAAATCCTTCTGCAGGATTTCAAGATATATATTACAGACAGACAGACAAATGGACATTGCTCATATTAAAGTATAAGATATCCATGAGTTCCAATTAGGCAAGTTAAAAATGACCACCATAGTAAAACTTGTATTTCAACTTGCTATCAGGCAAAAATATCTGTAAAAGTAACTTTTACTATAGTGGAATCTAAATAAAACGAACCTAAATAATTCAAAATCCTTGATAAATTGAACTTTGTTTATTCCCCTTGAACTTCCCTATCTGTTGCAATGTTAATTTTACCTCTACAATTTGAATAGTTCATGAAAAACACCTTGATAAGTTTTAGTCCAAAAACCTCTATACAGGAGAACCCCTGATGTCTGGCCTTGGTTTTACCTGTCCTCTGTTTATTCCTTCCAGGTAGCAAATATAACATTTTTTTCTCACAGCTTAAATTCAAAACACGGACACATAATAAATAAACACTTTTTACAAACAATTACGGGTAGGCCTACCGACAAAAACTTGCAATGTCTGACCACACAGTTGTAGGTTAAAATACTTCTTACATTTTAACAAGTTTGCTGCGGGTCACTCACTGGTGAGTGCTCTAGTTCCTTCTGCCAAGCTGAACGCTCACCGGTGATCGCCAGCATTGCCTTTATTCTATTCAATTTCTGCGCAGCAGCACACGGGGCAGAACGGGTATTTTTATGTATACGTTTAGCTAGGAATTGGTGCTTCACTATGGTGTAGGTTGGTAGTAAATTCCCCCTTAAAATCCCCTTTAGGCAAGCTTAGAAATCAAATTGTTGTCCCATCTTTCTCCCTCCAATTGGCAATACAATGGGACGGCTAGTTCCAGGAAGTGCTGCTATCTGTGCTAAGTGTTTCAGCAAAAGCACATCACCGCACGTCATTTGCTATTTATCAGACCGAAATACTTGAAAGCCAAATGGGTTCGCTCGACGCTGCGCCGCACCAGAGCTACGCCTGCCGTTGGTGGGCCGCAGGGAATGTGTTAATGTATTAAATTTTATAATTGCATTATTATCCATTCCAATACAGTGCACACTGTACAAAACACCATAAAATTATTTAAGAAGGCCATCAATTCTACTGATGTTTATTGTTTGCACTGAGTTGAACCTCTATGTATCGAATTTTGGGGAGGATGACCTTGATAACTCGAACCTTTATTATTCGAAGTACTCGATAATTTGAAATTTCCCCGTTCCCCTTGGGATTCAATTTATTGAGGTTCCACTGTAGTTTTCCTACCACTGCATTGGAAATTATCCCATTGCCACACCTGTAAACAATACGCAAAATAGCTCATTTTCTCTTAACTTTATTCATTCCCGCTCACTAAATCAGCTGATTTCACTGTTTTTGTTTTCACTAACATCTGGTAAACAAATAACATAACCTAAATAATTAACGCAAACATATCCTAAATGACATTTTATATACATCTGAAAAGTGTATTTGTGTGTTATGATTATGGTGGTAGGAAAAATGTTGTGTGTATTACGAGTACAGTTTGCTGCTCTCAAAATATCTGGTCGCACTCAGCTAAAACATCTACAGTTCTCGAATGGCACTGACGTACTTTGGGCTCAATACACAAATAGCTAGGTCTAACTTATAAGACTTGTGGAGTTGAATTTTTTGCCAATATTAACAAAAGACTTAATCTGAATTAGATATGGTCAGCTGTCAGATTTTCCCCCTATATTTATTTGTTAATACACCGTTTTTTTATCAACTTTGTTAACAGATAGCCAAAGATGCTCGTGAATGTGTCCAAGAATGTGTTTCTGAATTTATCAGTTTCATAACCAGTGAGGCCAGTGATCGGTGTCACCAAGAAAAGAGAAAGACCATCAATGGAGAAGATATTTTATATGCCATGACTACCCTTGGATTTGATAACTATGTTGAGCCTCTCAAAATGTACCTACAAAAATATAGAGAGGTATGTTGGAAACAAAAGCCATGGTGATTGCTCCATTGTTCTGTTTAATTGTTACTGTGTAACTAGTTTGGCCCCCAGTTACTGGTCAATTTCAAGTGTCACACTTTTAATAAGACAACTTTTAAGTGTGATACTAGGACTTCTTTACTGTTACATATTTTTCCATATTGTAATATCACTAGATTTTCTCAATAAAATTACATTAACAAATGTTTTGTACCTAGAATAATGCTGTGTTAAAAATTTTGTAATAAAGGCTTGGTAAAAAAGGTTAATAAAGGTTTATGCCTGTGTCAAAACCCTTAATCTAGTCTAGGCCTATACTTAACTGGGATGTAGAGTTGTTTTTGTATTTCGCTCACTAATGCTGCTTGACAATAAACTGGTGGTTTGGCTTTATGCTCATTCTAAAATTATTTATGCCACTATCAAGTGGTTTTTACTGGGTTTTCAGTTTTAACTGTCACTTAAATAATCATATCAAATGGCGCGGGGGGGGGGGTTTACGAGACGTAGGAATTCACGAACTCAGGAACTCACTAACTCGGTCGTGTTTTGGAACTGGCTAACTCTGGAACTGGCTAACCGTCTCAGTCAGGAATTGGCTAACTCCGGAACCCGCTAACTCGATTTTGTCCCGTGGCGGAATTTGTTAACTCTGGAAGTCGCTAACCCGGCCGCGCCCACTGCATGGAGCGTTGCCAACCTTGTACTACAAAATAATCGTACACTGCCGTATTTCAAAATGTCAGTGTCAATAAAGATACAGTAAATGTTATTGTTTTTTTGTTATCAATTCCACTTTTAACAGCTACATAGCCCAAAGTAATTAAATATCCCCGCCGCAGCAAACCTGCAGACTAAGCGAATTTCCATTCGACTGATTGGATTTACACTGAAATGTCTACTTAAAAATATAACATTTATTCCCTATTTAAATAGAATTAGTTTAACAAATACTTAGGTTTGCTGCATCAGGGAGGGTAAAACTGTTTTTTTTTCTAAAATGTTAATAGTTAGTAAGAAATAAAAACATTTTCCAAATTTGATCAAAATAAGTTCATAAACAAGCAAACTACAACAGTTTACTTATTCTCCATAAGAATAACATTGGAATTTTAAATTTACAATTTTATGGAATTTTCAATTTTCTCCGTAACTATTAGGCGCATAATAACGCTTCAATATACTAATTTATTTGTTTTTTTAAGCTCTACAAAATGGTTTGGAAAGAAATTGCTAAATTTTATGTTTTTTGGGTCAAAAATGGGAAAACCCTATTTTTACCCCATAAAACCCCCCGTAAACCCCCGTTCCCATTGTCCGATCATGCTGGATCGCGAACTCGTTCGAATAAACGTAGGTTTACACGTTTGTACCAAATTTCATCAAAATTGGATCATTTTTGCTCGAGTTATCGTGCTAACGGACACACACATATAAATATATATATATAAATATATAAATATATATATATGAATTTGAATGGATGGTGTTTTTGGCCTCTAGGGACCTCAAAATGAAAAACAAAATCGGTCCTGCATCCAGGTCTTACCATGAGTACTACGGTAATAGCTTATTCCCTATATGGGAAATTCGCTAAAAGCAATTAAAAATCATTAATAAGTGATTTTTTATTTACCTGTACAACGGCCAATTGAATGGATTTAGATAGGTATTAAATATAAATGCTAGTATTATAGGAAAATAATAGAATATGAAAAATATTGATCAACCAGTAGTACTAATTAAACCTCTATGAAATTAAGCTAACATACACACACATACATTTAGTTATCAAACACGGAAAGCAAATTTAACCGTGATGTCGTAATAAACCAAAACAACTTTTATAACTAATTCATAAATTTAAAATTAAAGGTTAGCTGTTTCATTGTCCAACTTACGTGTAAAAATATGACATAGGCTACGTTTCATAATGATTTATAGAATAACTGTAAATCTAGGCCTAATAGTTCAAACCAAAGCATTTTAGGCATACTAGTATAAAAGCTGGTTGCATAATTAATTCTAAAATTTGTTGAATCATTGAGTAATAATGTTACATGTTTTAATAACAGTTTTTAGATTGTAAACCTAAGCCCCACTAGTAAGTTATTAATTAATGTGCCTAGGTAGGCCTATATCAAGTGCCTGCTATACAAAAATATCGAAACTATTTTATTTGTTTACTAATACAGTACGATGATTCAGAATCATTTCGGTAATAATAAAGAAATATTAAAAAGAACCAAACTATTGTTAACACTCGCACGACAGATATAATAGACCTTTAAAGAATCAAATATTACAATCTGTCAAGGACAAGCGTTTAAGGTTACAAGCCCAGTATACAAAACACAAACTTAATAATTTTATTTGCAGAAGTTCACAAAATGGTATTAATTTGAATAAAAGAAACAAATAATAATAATCCGCCTACGAAAATAGATATTTCATAACCTGTAAAAGATCCAAATTAAATGTACAGTATCTTTTTGCATTCCAAAAAACTACTATTTAAGTAAGAAAAAAGTAGATAAAACATACTCCCTTATGTTAGTACATTTCTCATCCTTATAGACCAGGTGAAGACAATTTTATTGTTGGTTCTGTCCGGTGCACTGTCTGTAGAGGTCGTGTTTTGTTTACAATTTGTTTCTTGTTTTTAGTAATTTAAAACCTCGTTTAACCAAATAAAACGTTTTAATAATAACTAATATCACGTCCCCTAGTTAACCAAACAGTAGAGAACAAATCATGAAATCAACTATAAAATAATAGAAACACAATTTCGACGACACTAGCGATCAGTGTCACCGGAAGTAAACTGAAAAACGAGCTTCAACATTTACAATGGGATGTAAAGTTTACTTGTATTGGTTCGTCTATGGTAAGGGCCCTTTCACACGAGGCCACTGGTGGCCGCCACCGGTGGCCGCCACTGGTTGCCCGCCACAGCTTTAACATTATTTTAAATGGGACCTTTCACACACAGCCACTTTAGTTGCCCGCCACTACACAGTGGCCGAGCAGTGTCTTCTCGCGCAACTGCTAGTCGGCCACCGCCGGCAACTGCAGTGGCGGCAACTCGTCGCGGGGCATTGAATTATATGGGAGCTTTCACACGTAGCAACCAGTGGCCGCCACCAGTGGATGAGCACGCAGCTATTTTGAATCAGTTCACGTGCAGACTGCTAAGACAAACGCACTATGGTTGTAGTTGTTGAGTGTTTTCGTGTTGAATTGTTTGTTTGTGAAAATGAGTGATCAGAAGAAAAATAAAGAGGACGTTGCTGAAAAAGAAAAAGACAAAGGAAAACGACAGAAGAAGAGAATAAACAAAATAATAGAAAACAAAGTGGATACTGATGATCTAATTTGCAAAATTGAAAAGTAACCGGCTATTCGGTATAGTACGCCTGTGTCTTTGCCTTATTTTCTTTATTATCAACGCGAGAAGAAGGAGATGTTCATTGTTCGACAGCATGTACAGCATTTCTACCAGTACAGTGGCTGTAGTAGAGTGGCTTGTAAGTTGCCTGTACCATCCACTGCAGTTTCCCGGCCGGTAACTGGTGGCGGACACCGGTGTCCGCCACCAGTGGCCTCGTGTGAAAGGGCCCTAAGACTATAATACATTTTCCACCCTAATAATAATCATAAGAATAATATTAAACATACTTCTGAATATATATTTATTTTATCGGCTACATTGCTCTTATTCGTAGGATACGATATTATGGCACCGATACGATCGTAGGTACTACACTTTCGGCAACACTGGCTAACAATCTTCGTGCTTGGCTCCTTGGACAGCGCGCGAGGCTTCTGATTGGGTTTAGCGAGTTCCGCCGAGGGACCGAGTTAGCGACTTCTGTACGAGGACGGAATTCGCTAACCCGGCTATAGAGCGGGTTAGCGGGTTCCGGAGTTAGCCAATTCCGAAACCGAACAAGTTAGCAAGTTCCTCTCATCGACCAAATTTGAAGATAGGGCGTTTAACATGGGGTTAGCGAGTTCCAGAGTTTGCCAATTCCGAGGACCCGGGTTTACCTTACAAATCGTCCGGTAGTTCTAAATTTGTTATATGTTGTCTAGGATGGTAATTAGGTGTTTCAAATGCAAAATGCACAATTCCCCACCCCCCCTCCACGCCTGTCGCCATATGGGAAAATTTAAAAAAATCTGCCCTTTCTTGAGATTTTCGCCTATGAAGTGGTGTCTATTTGTCTGTGCGGCTGCCACGACTAAAATACTAGACCAATAGGCTACAGTCAAAATTAAGCACAAAGATGGTCCACATATCTGGGAATGTCATTGGCCTATTCACTTCCCTGACTTCCTCTCGGGCTACGCCCCTTGGATGTCCAAGGTTTGGAGGTTAGGTTTTCAAAAGTAAATATAAATTGGCCTCCATGGAAGCATGACAAAATTCACAATATTTGTTTACCTTTGCGTTGACATTTTAATGTAAACAATCAGAACTGCTAAATGCTCACAATTTCAGACCGCTAATCCAAACAAATTGAATACAATGTTTTAACTACAGAACTATGTGGTAGGTTTATTTATATAATTGATTATGGGAAATTTTGTTATATATTTAAATGTAAACGTATGACAATTACAATGTAGGTCATACTTTTACTTTCTCCCCCTATACCATAGTATATGGAGAAAGTATTGTTTTCGTCAAAATTTTCGAGTTTGAGTTTTGAGTGGATATATCCGTTTTGGGTCCCCCTGGACCAAAAAAAGTGGTTTTCAAAGTGATGTCTGTGTGTGTGTGTGTGTGTGTGTCTGTGTGTCTGTGTGTCTGGATGTGTACAGAGCTAGGGACTACACCTGTGGTCCGATTTCGATGAAATTTGGTATGTAGGTTCTAATCCATGGTATCTCCAGGCATTTTTTCATTTTTTTTGAAATTTTGATTTTTAATGGGGACTTTCCCATAAAAACCCATAAAAAACCGGAAAAATCGGATTTTCTCGAAAATG